ATCGAGGTCCCCTGGAACACAAGGCTGGAAAACTTAAAGAGTCTGTGGCCAGCTTGGGTTATACAGCAAGATCTGGCTTCAAAATAAAAACAACACCTGGGAGGCTGGGCGGTGGTGGCGCACGCCTTTAATCCCAGCACTCGGGAGGCAGAGGCAGGTCTGTGAGTTCGAGGACGGGCTGGACTGACAGCCTCCAAAACAATACAGAAAAACCCTGTCTCGTAAAACAAAAACAAAACAAAACAACACTTGGTCCTTTCTCATCCACTACAGTTTTCTTGGTAAGTTCAAACTATTTCTTAATCAAATTAAATGGTCTCAGGATAATTCTCTAAAACGTGCAGTTGTTGCCGTGTGAGTTCCCCCTTTGGGTCAACAAAATTCACATGCCTTGTTAATGTTTGCTACTATTTATTCACCAATACTAAGCACTTACCAGACAGGACATCAGATCATGATAAATTACACCCTCAATTTTAATAGAGCTCTCCAAAGTAAGCCTACCACCAACCTTCAAGCAAATCCCGGCAGTCCAAGCAATCTGTAAACATCAGACGTGTGGGGCAGAAATCCTAACTAAGAATGCCAACCCTTTGGTCACTGCTACCACAGTGCCACCTCCTGTCTTGTGACTCTAGAAGCTTGAATCAGAGGCAACAGTCGATAAAGGAAACAGAGCTAAGAATAGCACAGCTAAACCATCTTTCCGCCTCTCCTTCCTCCCAGACCAAACCAACTGCCAGAGTCAGTGAATGGATAATTCAGACCTTTCAAAAACCAGTTACTGCTACGAAAGCTGCTGCCTGAATGCTGCTAAGGACAACTGCAGAGAGTCCCTCACAAAGATGGAGGGGGCTCACCAGCTTCCCTGTAATCCAAGGTCCCAGTCCTGTGGCAACACAGCCACAGCGGCAGGGCTCACAAAGGTTTCACAGCAAGGCAGAGACACTTTTAAATTTTAAGCCTATCTGAGAGCCCATTTGCTTCCAGAAAAGTGGCAAAAACCTCAGAACAAATTATGCCCCTTGGCCTTTGTCACAACGGCATCTGGCCTGAGCACAGAGTCTGCAACCACACAGGTCAAAAGCCAGAGCCAGAATCAGAGCCCAGCTTCCCAACTCCCACTGGCTTCGGAAAGACGTCATATTTCAGAAACAGCTTCCTCAGGGTTGCTGTGAACAAAACATGGTAGAAGCCTAGCATTTCGTTTCTAAAAATTCTATTAAGGCCAAAGTAAGAAATCTCACAAAATTTTTTCAATAGGAAATTAAAAAAAAAAAATCAAAAAGAAAAACCCCTCCAGCCACAACCACTTAACAGTCACACACTGGCGATCTTAAGTTATGCACTCAAAAGATAACTTTCCCAGTCAAGTTCCCTAACATTAAACCTCAAGTATCTACATGTATGAGAAATTCCACAATTCAAAAGTTAAGATTCATCTGTCTCATGCCACTAAGGAAGAACTACACCTCGGTTTAAATGTTCAGCATTGAGAACAGCTTTTGCCATCCCTGAGACTTTGAAGCTGGCCCCATAGTCTGCAGTTACCAGGCCCCGGCTAAAGGGTATGCTGCCTCATCACATACAAAAGCAATATGCTAGCTTTTAAACAGCCATTTACAGAGGGATGAATTTAAAACCCCAGTAATTTCTGTAATATTCTACTCAACTGCTGTCATAAGCACAAAATTCCAGTATCAAAGTAAGTTGTTCCCTTTATTTTCTTATTAAGAACATGAAGTACCACAAACTATTTTCAAGGATCCTTTCTTGGTGCACATTAACTATAACATCCTATAATTTCTCTCCTTTATTCAAATGTTCATAACCGAGATTAAGAACTAAATCACAAGTCTGATCACATATGAATAGACTGTGAAAAACTGAAAATATGAAAAAAATCCAGAGTCTGTAAGGCATGGAAATGTAACTGAAACCTCCATGTCTCAGTTCTGCAGCATCAGCAACTTTGCCATTCCTTCTCCCGTGCCCAGCAGCCCACAACGTAACAAAAACAGGGCAGTGTGCCGTTTATATAAGCACACAGGGGCATCCAGAAGCCCTCAGACACCAGCGGCTCTTCCAACCACTCTCTTCTACAATCCTCCCTAGATAAAACTATTTCCTCACTCACCTCATGTTTAAGAGGAAAAAAAAAGAATCAGTCCTGCTCTGGAAGCTATCAAGCCTTTTATGCCTTATCCTTTGAATCTGGGACTGATGGTGTAACACCATGTCAGAGTCCAAAGCAATCTTCTCTTCTGGAGACAGGCATCCTCAGGCCCTGTGCACTCTGCTGTAATCTACAGCAGAGGGGCATCTGAATGCAGAAAAGCCACATTCCTTCCACATTCCCTTGAGACTTCAGTAATGGGGAACTAAGCTTGGTTTGAACCAAACTCAACAATACCCCTTCCTGAAAGGGTCCCGCCCAGCTCAGTTTGCAGTGAGAGCTAGGCTAGCCTGCAAAGCATCCAATCACCTCTGTGCCTCCGGCTCTCCTGTTCATCCATCTCAGAGTGCTGCCAGAAGCATTCCCCAGCAGCTGCCTCCCAACATGCCTTGCAAACAGGTATAAAGGTCACTACCCTACAAGTGGGCGTGCCTGCCTCAGATGCCCACATCATGGTGGAAAATGACTGCTAAGCACAAACTCTATCCCAAAGTTCAACAGGCTGCCTTGGTAATCTATTGATCTGACTGAGCTGTGTAATCAACTCACTATCAAAGTAATCCACACCAGAGCCACCTCTTAACCTAGCCATAGGTATGAGCATGTGGCTGCCAGGTCACTTCTTGGCCTTCTTCCAGAACCCATGGAGATGGTGGAAGAGTCCAGATAAGGAAAACTGCACAACTTCAAGGTTCAGTTAAAACGAATCGTAACATAGATAAACAGTAAATTCCCAGGCAGATAAAAAGAAGGCCTTACTTAAGACATCTCAGGGATGGATTTCCAGCACTCAATTGCTCTCAAGTCAGAAACAAAATGTACTCAATTTCCTTCACTGTGCTAGCAATACAACATTTAAAATCCTAAGCCTTTTAGAAGTGGGGAGAAAAAAGCAGAAAAGCTCCTTATTATTATTACATTGTTAATAAACTGAAGAAGCTTCCAGTAAACATTTGCTCCTACTTGCTACATCTGTCTGGGACCTTCCTAAAAGAGGAACCCTGCATATTCAAAAGTAACAAGTAACTGTTTTCAGTCTAAGCAAAGCTTTTAGGAGTTAAGACTAGCAGTTGTTACCAAAGTTCCTAAATTAATTCCCCTAATTCCTAAAAGAAAAGCAGAGGGCACAATTAATGGAGGTCAGTACATTAACTGTACCTGAAAAACTCGAGACATTTAATGTTTTCAATTCCAAAAAGTTCCTTTGATTACAATCATTTGCCCTTCCTGGCACTGGAACCCAAGGCCTCTGGCACGTTAAGCAAGCAGTTTTCTACTAATGAGCTACAACACAACACCAATCTTTTTTTTTTTTGCTTACTTTTAATTCAACAATTGATAAAAACCAAGAACTGGAGATGTAGTGCCTGCCTGCATAAATGAAGCCCAGGATTGATCTCAAGCACCGAGGGGGTGTGGGGGAAAATCAACAAGAGCCAAGATACTCTGGAGAGACATGAAACTAACATGTGCACAGTAAGTTTCATTTTTTCAAAGCAGCTGATTCACAGGCTAGGTCTCTAAACTTCTTAAGGGCACAGGATTTGTCCCTCAATTGCTTAAATTCCTATGAAGCCAACATCAACTTAATACTTTTCACCCACACCTATTTTAGAAGATTTACACACACACACACACACACACACACACACACACACACACCGATTACATTCTACTACATGAAATAACTTTACCGCTACCAAAATTCCTTAACCGGAACTAAATAATCAGGTTGCTCAAATATCTTTCCAATATCTTAAAGGAAATTAAACAATTACTTTAAAAAAAACTACAACCATCCACACCAGTTTATTCCTAAAACGAGGAATGTGAAATGATTCATGTGGAAGACAGCTTCATTCAAAACGGTTGCATAGCATTTTTCTGCCCTCTCTCTCTACAGGGCAATTCCCTTCCATCCCCAGAGCACACACTCACAAATACTTAACCAGACACACACGGCTCTGGTTTGAATTAACTTCAAGCTTATTGTTTGGTCCAGGTTAGGAGGAGGATGAAGGGCAGAGGGCGAGACAGAAACCCTAACCCCACCTTGCAAAACCCAGAAGGGCATAAGGTTAACCTCAGTCTTTCCAGTTAAATTAGAGTCCAGAACTGGCCTGTGCCAGGGCAAAAAGAGCCATTTCTCCAAAAAGCTTCAGTAGTTAAAACAGCCTGCAAATGCTCGTAAAGTTGACAGCTACAGATGCTCTCAGAGAAATCCCACTGAAGTAGCACAGATCTCCCAGTCTTCACCGTTCTTGCTGGTTATTTGTAAGCAAAAACACACCAAAGGCAGGGGCTGAACAAAGGCGCTGTTTGCAAAAAACTTTGGAGTGTTTGAAAGGCTGCAGGACCCCGGCATTCACTCTCTGTGTTCCAACGGCCGCTGGCTGGCGAGTGAACCAGGGCAAAGGCAATTGTGTTCCTCCTCTCTCAGGAGCGCCCACCACCGCAGACCAGCCCCCCACATCCGTCCTCCCCAGCCTCCTAAACCCCGCACGTTCCCAAAGATTGTTTTGCCCTTTGAAACTCCGGTTTCCAGCTGAAGCGACTCGACCTGCTCTGACAAGAACATGGAGCTTCGAAAGCTTCCTTGACGGGCTTTTATAACAGCAACAATACCCAGATGCAGGGGCCGCAGACAAGCCCTCGATTACTTCCCAGAATTATCAACGCGCACAGACACACCTGCCATAAACTTAAAGGCAAGAGGAAAAACAGCAAGCTGAGCCCCAGCGTGGAAGCCCGAGTGGTCCTAGTTTTCATCTGTGTCCAGTGCTTTCTCCCTACAAAGCGGTGAGAAAAGAGTAAATCAGCTCACCTCTGCCTTTTGGGGACCGAGTGCTCAACTTCCATCGGCTTCCCGTGCAGTTCCATTTTACCTGTGGGCACACAAGAGGCGAGACGAAAGGCTAGATTCAGCGGCTCTCCCCGCCTCGAAACCTGCAGTCTTTAAGGGAAAACACAGCCCGCTTCGGGGACTTACGGAGGGGCCCCAAGATTCCCACCCGGCTCAAGGACAAGGGAGGGGCAGGGCACCGCAAGGGTGCGGAGCTGACCCCTCGGGTGGGTGTGGCTTTTTAACTTGCAGAAGGCTAGGAAGGGAGACCAACAGTCAGACTCACCACTTTGGGTTGCATTTTCGCTTCCTGCCCCCCTCAGAGGGCCACCCAGCAACCCAGGGTCTGAAAAAGGGACCCCCACCTCCAGCAGACAGCCTGCGATGGGGGCGCGCGGCCTTCTTCCTGGTCCCCCGTCCAGGCTGGCCTGGAGCATTAGGCGGTGGGATCGAGGAGCCAGGGAGCCAGGAGGGGCTGGGGCGGCCGGGGTGCCAGGAGGGGCTGGGGCGGCCGGGGTGCTGGCCGATATGCGCTGGCTTCGAGTCCAGCCGGGAAACCAAAAGGCACCCGCATCGGCTGTCCCCCTCGGGCATCCGAGCAGAGCGCGCACGGGCCCGGACCGCGGCGCCGCGCGCGCGTGGCAGGGCTGCGGTTCCGGCGACAGCCGGCCGCCGCCGCCCACCTGCCCCTTTCGCTCCAACGACCCCGCGAGGTGGGCACGGCGGGGTGGAGCGGGACCGCCGGGACGCGGCCTCCCTCGGGCGTGGGGCGAAGGCCACTTTCTGTTCTCCGCCGCCGGGGGACAGCGGGCAGAGGGAGGGCCCGGCGGGCGTCCACGCTGGGCCCCGAGGCCCGCCTGGCCCGGCCTGCAGCACGCGCCGCGCCCCGGCGGCTGACAGCGCGTCGTCCCCTCCTCCCCGCAATCCCAGCCCCGGATGGCAGCTGCGGCGATGGGGACGCCCAGACCACGCGCTCGGGCCCCACCTGAAAGCGCCTCGATGGCCTTGAGGGCCCAGCCCTCGTCCGGGCAGTCCACGAACGCGTAGCCCGTCTTCACCAGGAAGGGGCCGGCCACCGGGATCTTAGCGTCCTTGAAGACACTTTCCAGGTCCGCGGGGCCGGCATGGTCGCTCAGATTCCCGATGTACAGTTTGTTCATTGTGAAGCGGGGTTGTTTTAAAAACCGAGGAAAATGCTAAATTAAAAGCACCCACGGCGGCGGATGGAGCCGGTGGGTTTTGTTCCTCTCTTCTTGCCTTTCAAACCCACACACAGTGACCCGAGCAAGGGAGCGGCGGGCGAAAACCAGATCCCGGGGGTCCTTTTTCCTCCTCTGGGTATTAAAAAAAAAGAGAGAAAGAAAAAGCCTAGCGACGAGCCCAGCGTCGAGTCTTCCTAACTCTGGGGAGGAGGCGGGATTAGCGAGAGAAAGGAGGAGGCGCGGGGGGGAAACTACTTTTTGTCTCTTCCTCCCCAACCCCTTTGGCAGCGGCCAGCGGGCTGTGAAAATATCACACTACGTGGGGCAGGCGCCGCCTCCCCGTAAAAAAGCCCCGAGGGGTGACTGGCAGCGGCGGAGGGAGCGGGGCGGGGGCAGCCGCTCCGAGTGTCCGGCTTTTTGAATGAGCCACGTGTTCAAACTACAAATCAACGTCTCACGTGAGGAATCCCAGCGCCTCAATTAGAGTGGGTTTCGGAGAAAAGGAGGGGGAGAGAAAAAAAGCGAGAGGAAGAGGGGGAGGGGAAGCGGGATTGGCCCGGGGACCCCGAGCCAGGGAAGGGGCGGAGAGCACCGAGTGGCAGCCGCGGGTCGCGGTCGGCACGGCGAGCCTCGGAAGGGCCAGGCGGCCGGTCCTTTTTTTTTTTTTCTCCTCGGGACCCCCTAAGTCCCGCCGCTGCAGTTACCGCAGTTCTGGGCACTCGATTTTTTGAAAATATGGGTCCCTTAACAACGAAGCCCGGACGGCAATCTCGAACTCGCGCGGCGGCTTTGATGACGAGGGAGAGTGGAACCCCGGAGCAGAGCGCAGCTCCCCGCGCGGGCCCCGGGGCACCGAGCGAGCGAGCGAGCGAGCGGGGCGGCCCGGGCCGGCGTGGGGGAGGGGACCCGGCGTCCGGGGCGGGTGTCTGCGCGACACCTCCTCCGCCTGCGCTACGGGTGGCTCTCCGCCTCGTCGCTCATTGGCTGCTCGGCTGCGGGGAGGCTCGGGATAAATGAGGCCGGGGGCGGGCTGGCCGCGTGGGGGAGGGGCGCGGGGCGCGGGGCGGAGGCTGCGGGGCTCGGGGTGGCCGAGTGGGAAAAGTCGGTACTTAAAGGGAAACCCTCGCTTCCTGTGGCTCTGGGGCGGGGGAGGGTCGGGGAGTGCTGCTACTTTTTATCTGAATAATTTTTGTTAAGGGAACTTGGGAGTCTCATGCAACCCCGCTCAGCGTCAGCCCTGGGTGGTGGCCGCGCTAGGCAACTGCTCCTCGGCTCTTTCTGCCTTCCTTTGACGGTGCGAGCCATCCATTATTTTCCCTGTAGGTAATGAGCACAATGGTGGGTGGTTGGGGGGGTGGGGTCTGGGCCCGGTGGAGCCTTCCTGAGCCTGCAAAATGTGAGCTGGGGAACAGGAATACGGGAAAAAAAGGCAGTGCCCTGTGGTTTAATGGTTGTGTGCTCTACTCAAAGGCTTCACAAGATAACCTGTGATGTATTTTTAGCAGGTATTTTATGGAAAAGATACATTGACCGTTTTTGATGACTGAAATTAAGTTCTGTGTAGCCTGGAAATATGGACAAAATTCTAATGTTTTGCTACTTTTACTAGTAGAAAAATGTAAATAGAGAGAATATGTGCTTCATACTTAAAACGTCTTCAGCAACTGATAATTTGGTATAGTATGCTTCTCTTTGTCAAAAACCTTACTAACACTTTAAAGTGTATCTCAAAGAAAACACGAGTAGCAGTTTATTTTTAAAACGTGGAATTATCGTACGAACTAGATTATTTGCATTTTGTCTTTTAAAAGGAACTTACAATTTTGTGTTAAGTAACCGGAAGGTGTCAGATCATCCATTTTAAATGCAGCTGTTCTTTCTAACAAGTTTTTCTTTCCTGCCAAGCAAACCCAGCTGTATAAATGTAAACACACTTTAACAGTATTTTCACCCAAGCTTAATTTAGTAAAATGGTCTTTATGAGGTGGGGCAAATGTGTACTTCTCACACGGTGTTGAGAATTATTGGAAATCTGTAAAGAACTCTTTGGAGGTGAAATATTGAAAGAGAAACAGCTCTCAAGGAAAATATGTATTCCTTTTAACTTCTATGGCATTCAAAATGTCAGCATAAAATTTATGAATTTATTTTTTGTAATACTTCATTCGTGTTAGTAACCAAAGCCTAGCTGGAGAAATGTTTTTATTCGTAATGTTAGCTTTTTTGAAATCACTTTAAAAGAGCCTGATCATATAACAGTAATTTTTCATAACAACAAATTGATCAGCTTACTACCAAGTTGTACTGTTTTTCTTGGATTAACTGTATTTGGTTTTATTAAAAGTCAGACCTAACGAAAATACCTTCTTTTAAAACATGGGATAAATTATTTATTTTTCTGTAAATATTTGCCCATAGTTTTCTGTCATTGTCAAACAAATCTTAGCAGCTGGAATTTAAACCAAGTGTGTGGCGTTTTAATATGTTCCTGGCTCCTGTGAATTTAATGTGTAATTGTAACAAACTGGATACTCTGTCTAGGACCTTAACACTTCATTAATAAAGTTGAGACATCAAAAAAGGAGGTAGATATAGCCCACTTCCAATCCTCTAAGCATTTGAGAGGTAAGTATATACACCGTGACAAAATTAAAAACCAAAATAAAACAAAAAACTAGCTAATTGGTAATTAGCTTTTCGAGAGCAAACAAAAAAACCTTTGAATTTTCTAGAACGAGTATGGAGTCGGTGTAACTCTTCAAATTCGTAAATTGTGTCGATGCTTTAACTCACATTGGTTGCAGACAGCTCCAGATTCTTCAGCAACTGTAGCTTCCTAATTAATATTAATTCCACGGAGGAAGGATACACACACACACACACATCCATCTGTTTACCCATTCGACAGCTGCATCTCTTCCATTGACCTGAAAAAGTAAAAAATGTTTGATTTGCCTGGAAGGTTCGTTACGGCTGCTGTATCCACAGGTTGTGAGCTGAGGCTGGGTAGGCAGAGGAGAGGGCGGCCCTGGGGCTCCCCTGGCCGGGCCTGACACCCTCCCGCCGCGGGGCACCTTCCCCTCTTCCGGAGAAACGCTCCCCTGAACCCTGTTCAAACCGGGGGCGAGATCAGGGACCTAACTGCACTTGCTCCAGAATCTGTCACTCCTGTCTGTATTAAACATGGTGTCCGGGAGCTGAGAAGACGGGGTGGTTTGTTTCCCTTCTCCAGCTCCGCGCTAGGAGGGCGAACCCCCGGGGCGCACACCGGGGAAGGTCCTCGTCGGCCGCTGCCCGCCCTGGAGCCCTGGCCATCCGGCCGCGTCCACGCGCGGGGCCCCGCGAGGAAAGCGCGCGCTAAAGGATGCTCGGTCGGCTCCGCAGGGGCGGGGCGGGGCGGCCGCCGATGGCGCGGAAGAGCGGCCTAGGGCGGGGCTCCGACGCCGACCCACCCGCCCCGCAGAAGCCGGAGCCCACCCAACGCCGGGGGAGGCCCCGCCCTCGCGGGAGCCGCTCGCCGATTGGTGGAGGCAGCGAACCTATCGCCGGCAGCTGCCGCCTCCGGAGTCTTTGCTGGTCTCCACCCATTGGCCCTCGGGCCGCCCCTGTATTTGCATATTTTGTGGCGCGAAAATAACCCTTTGCTCCCTTGTTGGCTGTGCTGTGGGTGAGGGGTGGGCTTCCGCTCGCCGCGCCCGCGCCCGGCCCTTTAACTGCGCGCCCCCCGTCCCGCAGCGCGTGGTGCGCGGGGCCAACCCGGAGGCTGGGGGTTCGTAAGCGCGGTGCCGCTGGACTCTTCTTTTAGGTCTTCGAATGTAAACGTAGTTTTTTTTTTTTTTTTTTCCATTTCAAAGAACCACAATCAAACGTTCCCAGGTGCCTGAACTTAACCAGTCTTCTAGAGAACTCGTCCAGCCCCCTCCTTGCCCAACTCCCTTTGTGGTCCGCAGGGTTGTTTTAAGCAAAACCAAACAACCTCTGCAAAAAAAAAAAAAAAAAAAAAGCAAACGAAAAATTCCGGGTAAAATCAGCTATTCCACGACCACGTTTTCGTTGAAGCTGCTCTAAGACCGGTGAAGTTGAGACCGACCTTGAAGGATTAACGATTTCTGTAACTGAAATGTACTAATTTCACTGACGTTTGGTGGAGACGGTGAGAAAATATTAATACGAAATTGGCTTGGAAAGTTACGAAACAAACGAAATAATCATATTTAACTTCAGTAGCCGAGGTAAACATACACAATGTGAGTTAGGTGCTGGTGGGGTTGTGTTTATACATAAAATTTTTTCTCAAAAATACAACGATGAGAACTCTGGTTGTAACAGAAAAGGAAGTATAATTTTTTTGATGTGTTTACATTCATAAACTACTTTACCAGTCTTTATCTGGAGAAAAAGAAACGAACCAATCAGAAATATAACAAATTTATCCGCAGATAATTTTAATTATTTTAAGTCTTGGCAAGGGGGAAAGAAACTCAGTTTAGTTAAAAATCGGTAAAAGATTATTCTTCAGCAAACATTTAAGACTTTGATGAAATCGTTTTAAATCGGAACGCTCAAGGAATTTTCTGTGTATTGTTAATATTCAATTGTAGTAGATCACATCTTCAATTACTTTGGGGAAAACTTTAGTTTATTGCTGTTTAGATCTAGTCTCTAAAATCGAATTAAAGTAACAAACTAACAAATTACCATGTACCACAAGTCTTGAAGCAGTTATTTAAACAGAACTTAAACAGAAGTAATCGTTACACATTTTGTTTAGTTCAACTACATGTAACAATGTGGTTAATAAATGGTGTTTTTTAAGCTTGTATGTAAAGTCAAAAGGAGTCACAAACGGTTTGAGGTGAACAAACTAATTAAAACTTCAAGACTGAAAATCTTAGTAAAAGTCTTAAATAAGCCCATATCTAAGAAACTTTAAATGTGAAGACGTGGCTACTTGAAAATGATTTTAGGTTGGGATTTATTTTTGTATTTTGAAACGGTGTAGTATACAAAAAAAAATTAAAGAATTTTAAAGATAAAGTTGCATTTTGTAAAATAAATTCCAAAATTAATCAAGACAAGCCAAAACTCTAAAACCTGAGGTTTTTTCAAATGTTTTCTCAAAAACAAAGGTTTATACAAACACTTTTCTTTGATCTAGTTGAGAAACACATTGTTTTAAATTTTCATCTTTAAGTCAGAAATTGGGATTTCATCTGTAAACTTTGTGTCGACCTGTGAGGTAACAGATAGCAGGATTCCTCTTTCTGCAACTGTATCTTGTTCTATACTGCTTCCCATCGTGGGTGAAAACTGTAGAGTGCTCCTTTTTTCTGGGCAGCGGGAGAATGAGACCTTTCATGGAAAGCCTCGGTGGGGATTGGCGAGTTCCTATGTATTTCCAGACCAACCGTAGAAAACAAAGAGCTAGGCGTTTGTTTGCAGGGGGAGGGGCCTGAAGAGGCTGGGGAGAGTTGGGTGTTTAAACTTATTTATGGGTTGCATCTCATTCACTGTGCACGCTCCCTCGCACAGCTGAAGTGCATGGAAGGGCTGAGGAGACCGTCCTACCTGAAGGTGAGATGAGACAGGTCCAAGCATGGAAGTCCACTGCAGAGAACAGTCCAAGGCTAGGCTTCCTCGCTAAGCCACCGTGAGAGCTGGGGGGCGTGCAGGGCGCTCCCCGCTGCTCAGCATTTTCCAACTTCTGTAATTCAAAGGCACATCTTGGGTTACTGTTTTCACAGTTGGACTGTTCCATCCCAGAAATATCTTCCCCCAAACCTTAGGAATCAAAGTTCCCTTAAATGACAGCACAGAGCCCCTCCTAGGCAGCCTTCGAGGCCCGCTGATGAATGCCCCGCGCTGTCAGTACACACGCGAAGAGGTCATTTTTAGATTTAATAAAGCAGACGTTTTCTGATTCCTTGCTTGTCAGAATAACCATAGCTCATTACCACGTCCACTTTACTCGCCAAAATTCATTCCCTCTTGGGTTCAGTTGTGTTTTGAACCTGAGCCTTCTTGCCTGATGATCCCAGCTCTAAAGGGGAAGCTCACACTAGGTGCAAAACTCCAGCATTTGTTTTGATTTCAGAACATTTCAGCTGAAGTTAGTGAAGACTATGGCACCATTAGATATAGTTTTAAAAAACAAACTAATCGGAGATCTTTGTCAAAATTGACCTAGGGCACTTCTAAAACATTTACTTCCTTTTTTTTTTAAAAAGTATTGCTTAGTAATACAAATGTTAGTAGTAGTTCTTTGTTTTATTTGTTTTTTATCAACCAAAGTATAGTGTTTTTGTTTTGGGTTATTTTGTAGCCCAGGCTGACTTTGACTTGGTGATTCTCCTGTCTCAGCCTCCTGAGTACTAAGTTTACAGGCATATACCAGTGAGCAGTTAAAGTATACCGCTGCCTTCTTAAAGAGAAAATTTTGTCCAAATGGAGGTTTTGTTTAATATCAGTAACTGTAACTGTTTTATGTTTTATTTGGTTTGGTTTTTTAGAGGTGGCAATCATTAAGGTAATTTTTCTATGTTTTTTAAATATTTTATTTGAAAAAACAAAGAAAAATATTTTTCCATGGTAAGATAGACTATTTCTATCTACTTAATATCTAAAATGTTTTTCCTAGGGCTTCCAAAGACTGGAAAATATTTTTTCATAAATTTTGAAGCAAATAAATCTTACTCTGTAAAACTCAGGAGGACTTTTAAAAATATGTTTTTGACATAACAAAAATAAAACATGTTACTATTGAAAATTCCCTGTTTAGCTAAAATAACTATTACTCTTCTCTTATGATTATTCTAATTCTAGTTCAGCCACTAAAACCTAATTCATGAAAAGGACAGGAACAAAATAGCAGATCATCAAAGTCAGAAAAAATATCAGAAATGGGTATGATTTCTGCCATACCGTTCACATTTGGTTATGAACTGTTAAGGGAGATGTCACAGCTTTTGTTTTTGTTGAAAGCTACTTAGAGATTTGCTCCTTGGCTCATAGTTTCTGTGCTTTTATAACTCTGTACTGCCACAATTCAAATCAGTCTTTGGTTTTCACTGATATGCATGGCTATGTATGAGAAAGTCAAATGGAAAATAAACTTTTAAAAAATCAGAATAAGAGCAACCATAGAAATATATTCAAATTTTAGTTTACACCAGAGCCAATATTGTAACTTTTTAATTAAATTGAGTTTTGTTTTAAATAAGACATAAAAATAAGCTGCGTTTCTGATGACAGGGACAGCCAGGCTAAAGGCAGCAAGCATGTCTCAGTTTCCTCACAACCAATTTTCCTGCTGGGGCAGTCTTCTCTGGGATGGACTGAAGTCAGTTTTCGACTGAATACCTAGATGCCTTTGCATACTGCTAAGAAACCCTCTGGAGAGGTCTGTGAAGGTATAAAGCAAGCTGAGGCTTGTGTTCAAATCTGAGGTTGCAGGTCAGAGCAGGTGGCTAAGCACCGTTTTCAAAGGCTTTTTCCTAAACCGTCAGAATACTTCACGATGTTTTGAAAGCTGGGGGGGATAAGGCTACCGGGACAGACTGAACTGGAATTAGGGGCTGTCAGTACATCCAATGTATAATTACTAAAACAATGGAAATATCTTTTTAAGTTTCTAGCTTCCTCAACCTTTTTAAAAAATATTAGTATATATTTGTAAAATATCCAATACAATTAAGGCATAAATATAAAGCTTTAAGACCAATATAGAGAAACCCTGTCTCGTAAAACCAAAAAAAAAAGCTTTAAGACCAATAAAAGTAATCCTGACTATATAGTTTAATAAACATTGTTTATCCACAAAATGTGAAGTCATCACAATTCCTTTCTCTTGGTTACATGTGAACAGTCTAATAAAAGTAAATAGAATTATAGGAAATGCCATTATGGAAAAAGTACCAAAGATATTGGTCTACTTTTGTGAAAACAATTTTTGAAACAATAGAGAGAAAATATTTTAAGTAAAATTTGAGTCCTCTAATTCAATCTTTTGTGTGTGTGTGTGTCTTGATTGTTATATTTTTACTGTGTTAAGGGAGCTGGGAATAAATTTTAATGTTGCTCCTAAGCAGATCACTAATAAAGTTCTTAGTTGTTAGAAATGATTGAAACCG